AAATCAAAAGTGTGGCTGTGTTTTTTCTTATAGATCCTCTAGTTAGTGTGGATAGGTTATATGACAGAAAGGCAGTCTCAGCAGAAGCTGCACAGTTGTGCTTGTTCGCAGAGCAGAAGGAGAGTAATCCAGCAGCTTGGTTTTACAGAAGTAGTCCCCTATGTTACTCTGGCAGTCAGGGAAAAAGGAGCTGTTAGTTTTATTTGTGTACGGTTTTCTGTGGAAATATCTTGACAGCAGGAGGTTAGAAGGCAAGATGAAATATGGTCTGTCTGCAAGCACATTGATTTATGTGCAAGTGCATACGTGCATAAGAGATGAGCAGTTATATATGTAGAAATGACTAGAAAGGACCAAGTCCCTGGTATACATTTTTTTGCAAGACTGCATATGGAGAAAGAGCTACTTTTTTTTGATGTTATTCTGCCATTAAAAGTAAAATTTCAGACACTGAATTGTGTTTTGTGTTGAATCATAATCTCATACAGAAGCTTTACCGCAGACACTCGCAGCTTTGTATTTGTAAACTAGACTATTTTGCACTTAAATAGATGTTAATGCGTTTGGGAATTACAGCACAGTAAAGGGCTAAATCATAGTTTCTCCATTTCGTTATAATCCAAAAGCATTTTTATTACTATTATTATAAAGTGCCAGAAACACAGGCAGTCCCTCGCAAACACGTTAAATAGACAAGAGACTAAATTCTGCCCTTGGTTACACTTGTACATCTCCAGTGCAAGGTTGTTAAGCTGCAGAGCGGTCTCCCCAGGGAAGCTGTTTGAAGAGCCCTGCCATTGTTCTAACAAAGCTCAGGGATAATGCAGCACATGAGGAGAGTAAATGAAGAGTACTTTACTTTAGGTTTGGTGGCCTGCCCTCTCCGGCATCTTGCAAACTGAATCTCTATTTCTGGCTGCCTATTTCCATGGATAGCCCCAATCTCCCAAGCATCCTGTCAGGACAGTGTGAGACAAGGGATGTTGTCTCCTCTTTGCTATTTTCTTGCTTCAACCAACGTTATCCCTTGTGATAATTAGACCGTGCCTTCTTTGAGGAAGCATTTTGACTTCAACTCTTCAAAGTTTACATGAATGGTTCCTGTAAAATTCTCTCATTCAACAGAGGGCACCCTGCAGGATGGTAAGTAATCTTCTGCAGTCACATGGACAAGGACTTACTGATGGCTTTAGCTGTGAAGGACTAGAGAAAGCAAGAGAAAGCAGTGCTGAGAAGTGCAGATGTGAGACGTTGCTCCAGGCAGGTCTGCTTCCTGCTGGATTCTAGGTGTAGCAGAGGTCATGGAAGCAGCCTCTGAATTGTTCTCTTGAGAGAAGGGTGGAGTGTAAGGTCTTCAGTGAGAAGTGAAATCAAATTTGTTGGTGATCAAAAGGACAAGAGAGATGCATGTGTTGGAAACAACTGGTGCCAATGAGGTCTCTCGGCTCCTCCCCTAAGCAAATTGCAGTCTTGGTGGAATATCAGCTTCTCAGTCCATCAAATTGCAGTAATCAAGTCTGGAGCTGATAGGAGCATGAGTCACCACTTAATTTGCTCATCAGTGGAGGCCAAGTTTTCAAAATGCTTTTAGATGCATTTCCACAGAGATTTCTGCGAGCCAGTGACCTATAGAGTGACAAGAAAATTAGCAATAGCTGCTGCTGAATCAGCCTCTGCTCCCTGCCACTTACCCTACTGACCACAGTTTTGGGCAGGGAGGGAAGGTAAATCAAAGGCCTTCGGAATTGCTATGCAGAAAAGAGCCCTGCTGAGCTGATCCCAACACCTGAATTTGTTGAGAAACAAAATAACCTGTGAATTTTTAAACTATCTGGTAGGTTCAAATGAACCCTGACTGTATAGCTTGCCCTGCAGAAGCAGGCGTGAGATTAGAAATTGGTTGTGATCCCTGCTCAGAGAGGCAGCCAACACCCAGCAGCTGTAGCACACAGAAGAGGCCACACATCTCCTGAGGATCCTGTGCTGGTGCGTATTTATTGCCCACTCTTTACCTGTGTTCAAAACTGCTGCGTGGTGCAACCATTTTCCACCCAGTTAGGAAGAAGGAAAAAAGCCTCTGGGTGGTCTCCTCTGTGGGTAGGCACCATCTAATATAATAGTCACAAAATCAAAGTCTTGCAGATGTTAGCATGGTGGGGTTGGTTCATCTCTGTAAGAGGAAACTTAATATTTGTGGTCAGTTTTCTTATGAAGCGATTCAAATTTCTAAGGGAAATCAGCTGCCTTGAAAGGGAAGAAAATGGCCTTCCTTGAAGGAAAGACAATTTCATTGATAGGATTAAAAAAATTATAGAGGTCATGTGAGAACTGGCCTTTTGCCAAAATAAATGCAGGAAATAAAATTTGGGAGTCCTGTGACAATAACTGGGTATGAAATTCTATTGACAAAAGCTTTTGCAGTTCTGTGCTCCTGCTGTTTCTTAGCACCGTGACTGCAGTCCTTCTCTGTTGGTGTCCTTTGCTGCACTGCCCATCCCCAAGATGTTACAAAATTATTTTATTTCCTGGTGCCTTCCCTGTGTAGTTTTGCCACTTCTTATCAACACTCTTTGATGAAACACATGATAAAATGTCTTTTTACCTATCATCAATCTAAATCCCCCCCCCCTTTTTTTTTAACTTCTCCCAGTTAGCTGTCCCTAACTGAACCTCCTTGTGTCTCACCAAGATGATGCTCTCATCTGCTCTCTGAGCTCTCTTAGAGACTCCATCCTGTAGCCAAGAAACCAGGGAAGCTTTCCAAGATGCTGCTTGGGGAAGCAGAACTTGGCTTTTTGTGCTGACACTGAAGAACAGGAACTTTGCCCATGCAAATTATCGTTCCTGTGTTCTTCGTTAGGACTCGCAGCTCCCATGGAAGGAAACACCCGCATGCACATTGGCCTGCAGCTCACTACTGTATCCATTGTAGTCACTGTCAGTCGTTTGGGCAGACCCATACAATTGTTGATACGTTTTGCCAAGTTTTCCAGCAAATTCTTGCTTGTTCCGTTTCACAATATTGTTTTAAATTAGAGACATTTTGGGAAAACCTCTATTTTTCTGTATAAAAATTGCAAAAAACAATTTTTTTAAATCTATTTTAGGTCACTTTTTGTCTGAAAAATTAGCTGTAATTTCCAAATAGTGGCTTAGCACTAAAAAAGATGCATGTACTCTATTTGACTCATACATTCACTCTGCCCCTTCCCCAAACCATACACTCTTTCAAGTACCTCACAGTGAGTTGCCTAAAGCCCTTTTTAGAAAACAGCTACGACATCTGTTTAGGTCCAATTCTCTGATAAATAAAATATATCCCAGAGGCATAATAGCATACTAAAATAAGAGTATGACACAATTTCAGCCAGCTAATATGGTAACTTTCTTTGGTGCAGCTCACGGAGTGTTAATGTGAGAAGCCTGTATCTTTCCAGCTCGGCTGTCTGGGAGCATCGCGCATGGATCTCTCCCCGAGCCGGAGACAAATCCCACAGCGGCATGAGCAGCAGCGTGGGAGCAGTGCCGTGCCACCCTGTGCCCACAAACTCCCCACTTGCTGGCCTCTCCAAATGTAAAAACATAGTGGAATTGTGATACGTGAAATTTTGCGTGAACCAGGGGAACAGAACAGAAGTGTTGTGGTCTGCGGAGCCTGACTGTTATCATGTTTCTGTTCAGGTAACACGTATTTGTGACATGAAACATTAACATGTAACCTCTCTGATTACAAAGAGCATAAAGAGCTGTGTAGAGCTATACTATCACACATCAATGTTTCCAAATAATCCCATTTTAAGGATCTATTGGGACGTTCTTCAAAAAACAAGTAAACTCAAATCGTGCTGGTATCATTTTTTTGAAAGATTTTTAGATAGTTGTTTTTAAAGTAAGGCGCATAGTGCATGTAGAAAAACTCTTTTCCATGTGTATCACAATGTATGTTAAACCATTACTTTCTATGCTCTATAATCTAATATTTTACAAATATTTAGGAATGTATTTTCTTATCTAACACTCCACTTCCAATAGCAAACTGCTATTGCTTATCTGCTAACTCTCATCCCATTTGAATTTTTAGCTTTGGTAGATGTAAAAATATGCTTCAGTGTATTGCCAGCAGCAGCTTTCTATGTTTAAAAAATAAATTTAATGAGAAATTTCAATATTTTCCAATACTAGTGAAAATAAAATTTAGTCTGTTAAGATGGCACAGTGGTATTCTTTGAAAAGCTGCTGCTTTGGATATGCTTGGAATTTTTTGTCAGAAGCCCCAGTTTAGGAGTTTATTGTCTTAGTAACAAAATACTAGCTCTGAACAATCCCAGAAGCATAATACATTAGCAGAAGGAAAACAGTATTTATAGCCAATAATTCAGCTGTTATAAATTATGACTGTAAAGAAAGAGAAAAGTGGTCCTTTTTAAAACTTGCTGCCAGATTCTGGTTTCAGCGATGCTGAGTAAGGTAAGTAATGTTCTTTTGATTAACAGTCAAGCCTTGAGTGGTTTTCATTTAAAGAAGACTTTATTAAGCTTTTTTCTCAAATTCATCTTTTTTGTTCTGTTTTGAGCAGACTTCCATCTGAAGAAAACTCTCAATGACTTTTTAGCCTACATTAAATCCCCACTGACAAACAGATGAGAATTATTATTAATTTGCTCCAAAAAGAGCTAATAGGCTTTGCCAAATAAATCATGCAGATCACTAAGTGTGCTATTCATCTCTTCTGCAGATTATTGCTTAAAAGCCATGATAGTTGTCCTTTAAAAATCAAAAGTCGAATAAGTCCTTTGACTTGAAGTAAAAAATTTGGACTGATGGTTGTCTTGGGCCTGACTATTTTTTGGTTTTTTGCAGTTTGGAAAATGAGAGGGCTGGTGAGCACGGGTTCTTGGTGAGTGTGGATTCTTGGCTTCTAGGAAACTCGACCACACGTGGAGACTGGAGGTAACTGGTGTGTGTTATTGAATGGTTCAGTTATTTATCCCTGACCAGTATTATGGAGAGCCCCAAGTCTTCTGAGAAGCCAGAAACCACTAGCAGAGTTGAACCCCTTCACATCACCTTTGCCAGTGCGTGTCCATGTGCCTGTCTGTGTGTCACAGTCCAGCACCCAGTCCAGGTCCTGAAGTATTCAAGTATCTTCCACAGTTTCAGTTCCTTCTGTTTTGAAAGTAGTAGATACTTTGTGCTCCTCTTGTCTTTCAAGAGTACCTTGTAGGTAATTATGTGATATTATTAGCTGTTTGTTGATTTGAGCTTAGTTGGTACAGTCACTTGTGATTCTGCAGCACACACTTCATCATCTCTTTGGTTTTTTCCTAATTAATTGAAGAGTCTGATCACCCACTTCCAACTAGTTTTTAAGTACCCTCAATTATTTTTTTGTTTGGGAATTGATTTAGGGTGGGAACATGTCTCAGCTAACTGCGAGACATAATACCACAAAGCCGTATGAATTAACAAATACTAATATGTACTTAGCATGTATCCTATATACCAGTGTTTATACAAACACACAAAGGATGCTGCTACAGGCTGAAATTAGAAGCAGCAACAATGTAGTTTATCCAAGTCAATATTTCTCTAGTAAAATTCAATTCAGCATGAGGCATATATCCCATTCAGACTGTCTGTTCAGCATCTTCACCAACAACAGGACTTTCTAGATGACCCTTATGCCAGTAGAAGTTGTGGTTCTACTACTCAATTTAACATTCAGTGTGAGGTATTCCTCCAAATGCTTTGACCACATACTTTTAATTTCTCCTGTTTGTCATTAAAATGATGTATTATAAATTTGCCAAGTCGTGCAAACCAGCACCATTTTGTTTCATGGGCACACTGTAAATTTGCACAGGAAAAAATGTGTTTAGAAACACTAGGGCTGTTTGAACATTAATTGTTGTTATCTTTCAGTATCTTCCATCCATGAAGTTTAGCTGCTTCTTAATATCAAAAATCCAGCTGTACAGGCACCAGAAAACAAACAAACAAACAAAAAAAGAAAAGTAGGAGAAAGAAGGAGAGGAGAAATCCGTGTGTGGCCTTTGGTGTTTTTTTTACTCAGAATATTATACCTTCATAAATTATTAAGTGTATCTTCCTTTTAAAATATATTGAGCTCTTATTTTTATGTGGATGGGTATTACAACACCAGAAATTCAGCCTCTCACTGAGAAAAAAGGTGATCATAAGAATGGAAATACTATTCAGGCAAGTAAGACCAATGCAAATGCAAACCTTTTGCCAACTCCTTGAAAGAGATCTGAAGAAGTGTAAACACATGGGGCCTACATTTCCCAAAATAAGAAATGATGACAGATGCTCAGCTGGCGCTGACACATCAGGTAACCATCACTCTGGGAGGACAGGTGCTCTCTGGAAACTGTTCATTTTTGAAAAGATTGAAAAAAGAGCACTCAAACACTGAGGTGCCCAAAAATTAATTTGGTTTGCAACTACGGATTATACCTCTTTCTCAAGTCTCTCGTTCTTTCTTCTTTGTGGCTTTTCTTCCTTGCTCTGTCTGAAACCAGAAAAAAGGGGGTAAAAAACCCAATGGGACTAGAATAATGGGTATATACACATATTAGTTGTATATTTCCTTATCAGTCAGCAGGTTAATTTTTAGATGCTGTTTTGATTACATCTTTTCTTTTCTTTGGTTAGTTGGTTAAAGGTTTTCCAGAGGTTTTTAAAATATACTACACACAGCAGAGAGACTGTGAGTGGAAAATGCAACTTTGATTCTGCCCTATTCTTCTGGCCACATACCAAAATGCTTCATTTTGCTCTGGTGAGAGAGGCAGTAGTGAAATGAAAACATGCTTTTCAGTGGAGAAAGCCATAACTTTATTTCTAGTCCACATCTCCCAGCATTGGATCTTGTTATTTTTTTGGCTTCAGGAAGGCTGAAAGATGGCTGTAGGAGGACTTAGAGCTCTGGGTAGCTGGATGGGCATTAAAAATGGCCAACAATATCCTGGATGATGGAAAGAGAGGATTTTGCACCATATTTTTTGCAAATTTTGCCTAGCTCTGTACTTTCCAGCAGCAGAGTGTGTCTTATGCAGGCAGTCCATTAAAAAGCCTATGACGATTTGCCTTAACTTGCATAGTCTCCAAAATTCAAGCTGTAAATTACATGGAAAGTAGAATGCAACTAGGGTATCAAGAGATTGTGTTGTTTTCCAAGAGCTGTGTTGGAAGGTACATTGAAGCAGCTGGGAAAGGGATCTTTGATATTTTCATACTCTTTATCTTACTGTAGTGAAGAGCAGGGATTGCAAGTGGATTTATTCACGGGGACAATGTTATCAGTCTGTGGGACAGCCCTGCAGACTGAAAACTGCAATAAGCTGTGGAATTTCTGAGCTACCTTTAAACAAACAGCTTGGGTATCAGGAGCACCCTGGTGTGGCCACGTAGAGCTCAGTGCAGCCTAATTTCATCTGTTTAATTATGTGCAACAGACATGGAAAGCAAAGCTAGATTTTGTCAGATATATCTCAATGCTTCTTAATAATATGCTTTCATCAGTGTTTTCTCTATGCCTTGTTCTTTGTAAGCAGTACTTAGCAGTTGATAGTCCTTCAGAGAGAGTGCTGACTGCAGCTGAGGAGTAATCCTAGAGAGCAGTGAAACAGATATCTTCCATTTTAGATACTCAGGCCCAAATGCCACACATACATGACTGAATGAACTTATACTCAGGTACTACATGATAGGACAAGTCAGTCAAATTTTCATACTTTAAAGAATAAAAGTGAAATTGTCCATCTTGCCAATTAATTGATCTGTGCTTTCCTCTGCCCCAGGGCCTGTGCACCCTCATCCTGCAAGCAGCGCTACCTACAAGAAAACTGGAGAGGGACTTTTTATAAGGGTGAGTATTGATAGGACTCACCTATCAAGGGGGAATGGCTTTAAAGTGAAAGAGGGTAGGTTTAGATTAAATATTAGAAAGAAATTCTTTACTGTGAGGCACTGGAACAGGTTGCCCAGAGAAGTTGTGGATGCCCCATCCCTGGCATTGTTCGAGGCCAAATTGGACAGGGCTTTGAGCAACCTGGTCTAGTGCAAGGTGTTCCTGCCCATGGCAGGGGGGTTGGAACTGAGTGATCACTAAGGTCCCTTCCGACCAAAACCATTCTATGGTTCTGTGATTCTGTGTTGCTCCTGCTCCCTCCCCCATGCCAGAGGCCCCAGTGCCCAGAACATGGAACAGGCCGCTCTGTGACATCAGCCCCGGGGCCGCAAGCGCCACGGGCACCGCGTTGGTGGCCACGCTGCTGCGAGGAGCCCTCACTTCTGGCAGCTGATGTGTGCTGCTGACAAGGATGCTTCTGCTCTGCCTCCTCGTCCTGCTGGCCGCCTGCGGGCCTGCACTGGGCACGTGGAACACCTGCGGGTACGCAGCACCGGGCTCTGGGAGGGAGTTTGGGCAACGTCTTGGGGGTCCCCTGGGGCCACACCGCAGCTTCCCAAACCCCATGGGGGAGCCTCAGTTACTTGCCAGCGGCCAGGTGCTGGGGTGGACAGACACACAGCCCACAGGCTTCCCTGGCCTGCTTCGTGCAATGCCTTGTGGGGAGGGCAGACGGCTGAGATTCAGCCTGAGCAGCAGCAAACCATGGAGCAGGGCATAATGACTTTCTGCTTACAGGGGGATCTGTGGGGTCCGATCCATGACTTCTGATGAGGACCAAGGCAAGACCCGTGTTGTGGGTGGCACAAGTGCCGAGGAAGGGGCCTGGCCCTGGCTCGTCAGCATCCAGGATCCTGAGATATCAGGCACAGGGCATCTGTGCGGAGGTTCCCTCATCAGCACGCAGTGGGTCCTCACAGCGGCCCACTGCTTCGTCGATGCCAGGTAAGGAGGACTAGGGACCAGGGATATCCCCACACCACCAGTAGGTGCCCTGTCGGCAGCACCAAGTGCTGCTCCCACCTCGTTTCCTTGCAGCGTGCCCAGTGCCTGGGCACTGCAGACCTCAGCTGAGTTTGCTCAGGAGAAGGCTGAGCTCATGCCACTGCTTCCTAGCAGCCTCCAGCTGACATTTCCAGAGCCTAAGGCATGCTAGAGCAGCCTGTTAGACTGTTAGAGCAGTCACAGACTCCGCAGTGCTGCTTTCCTCTCTGCCTTGAGAAACAGAAGCCTGTCAGCTGCTGAGCTGCTGCAGCTCAAGGCTCTGCTCACTCTCACCCTCCTTCCATCTGCCTTCTAGAAACATCAGCACTATGCGCGTGGTGATCGGGGCCACCCAGCTGACCGAGCTGGGCCCTGGGGCCGAAGTGCGCCAGATCGAGCGGCTGCTGGTTCATGAGAACTACAATGCTGCCGACCAGAGCAACGACATCGCGCTGCTGGAACTGGACCGGCCTGCCGAGTGCAACCTCTACATCCAGCTGGGCTGTGTGCCCAATGCCACGGTGGATGTGTCAGAGCTGGAGACCTGCTATGTCGCTGGCTGGGGTGCCACCACTGCAAGAGGTAGGTCCCCAAAAAGGCAGGGCAAGCTCAACACACTGGGGAGATGGGTTGGGCTTCCCAACAGCAGAGCCCAAAGCCAGAATCAGGCTGCCCACTCCCTAAGGGCGGACAGAAGGGACAGAGTGCTCCAGTGCCTCTCCAGAGGCAAAGCCAGGCCCTAGGGAGGGGGATCACCCACAGTCATAGGAGGAGAACTGGCAGAAAACTGCTGGATATTCTTTCTGTACTCACAGCTCAAAAATCAAGTGATATCCTGCAGGAGGCCCAGGTCCACCTCATCAATGTCCAGCTCTGTAACAGCAGCGATTGGTACTCTGGGGATGTCCACACCCACAACTTGTGTGCTGGCCATCCAGAGGGAGGCATTGACACCTGCCAGGTAGGAGCATGTGACGAGCCACTCGGCCCCCAGCAGCACAGGCAGCCCCATCACCACCGCCCAAACACAGCCCAGTGTGGGCTTGATCTGGCCCTAGTTCCCCACTGCTGCTGTAGCTTCCCTCTCTTTTCCCATCTGTGGGGCCTTGCGCAGTGCCCTCCTTGTCCCAGAGGTCCAGATCCCGACCCTGAAACATCCATCCTCTGCGCATCCAGGATCACTGTGCAGAGACAAGAGAGAGCCCAACCTGACAGGCCCCCAACCCACTCCCAGCCAAGCTTCCGGAGGCTCCAGCACCAGTTCAGAGCCCCAGTTCTGTGCTGGGAATACAGTTCTGACAGGGGCTCTGAGAGAGGAGACAGCCCTAGTGCTGACAGGGGCCACCCATCACCACCTTAATCCTCTCTGCTCCGCTGCAGGGTGACAGCGGTGGTCCTCTCATGTGCAAAGACAATGACGCTGACTACTTCTGGGTTGTTGGAGTGACCAGCTGGGGAAAAGGTTGTGCAAGAGCAAAACGGCCTGGAATCTATACCTCCACTCAGCACTTCTACGACTGGATCGTGGGCCAGATGGGCCTGCTCTCAGATGTAGGCGCTCCTACGACAGCACGGACATGGGGTTATTATCCAACTGCCACACAACCCTGGGGTCAGTTTCCGACTGCTGCACGACCCACTCAGAATCCATGGCCAAGACCACCTGCCACCCAGCCACCATGGCCAAGACCACCCTCCACACAGCCACCATGGCCAAGACCACCCGCCACACAGCCACCATGGCCAAGACCACCCACCACACAGCCACCATGGCCAAGACCACCCACCACACAGCCACCATGGACAAGACCACCCACCACTCAGATGCCAAAGCCGCCGCCGCCACCACCACCACCACCACCACCACCACCACCACCAACCCCCGCTCCGAAGCCAAAGCCACCACCAACACCAGTGGACAAGTCCTGCCCATATCCAATCACGAAGCTGGTAAAATTCTTCACTCAGATGGAGAAGCTCCTGCAGGCCCTACAGGGAAAAACAGCTTGAGCAGCAGGATGAACAGGATCCAGTTCAGGCTGCATGGGACCATGACCATTTCCTGCCAAGGTGATGCCTGCTGATCCAAAGGCAGCCTCGGTGCCAAAGGCCTGCTCTGTCCTGCCCACACTGCTCCTCTGCATGTACACAAATGCTAATGTTGACTTAGTTACTGAAATAAAATTGCCTTTTTTCACAGTTAACCATGTTTTCAGACCAATTTTACCTCCTGGACAAGGCAAGGGCTTCCTTGCCCAGGACCTTCAAAGTGAGGCTCTGGGCAGACCACTTGGGCACAAAGGGAAAGAGTCACTGCAAAGTGCTGGAACTGTACCTGGTCAGAGAGGAGGGTGCTCAGAGCCACTATGGGATGGAGAAGATTGGCACATCAAGTCTAGAAAGAGGACAGGAAAAAATAATGCCACACGCAGACACCTTATGGGAGATGCATTAAGGCACACGAGCTGGTGACTAGGGCCTGGCCTAAGCCTTAGCTAATGGGACAGGTCTGGGAAACTTCTGAGCATGACAAGCAAAACTGCTGACTGTCACAAAGAGAGGGAGAAGCTGACAGGAGCTACAATGCCCTAAGGAAGAGCCAGATTTCACAGGTAGCGAAGGGGGATTGATGTGTGAGATGGCCACACTTCACAGATGCTCGAAGGATGAGGTGGGGTCATTTTGGGGAGAAGAACCTGGCAAGACCAGTGGGACCCAGGAAACTGCATCAGTAATGCCATGGAAGGCCAAGGTGAGCTAGCTAACAGCACCTGCAACACCAAGTCTGTTCACAGGTGGGGCAAACCTTGGAGCCAGGGCAGAAAAATAGCAGGGGTGGGTCCCCTGTTTGGGAGGAGACAAGGGAAGAGAAGGGGAGGAGTGGAGGAAGATGAAGGAGATGTATAAACATGGCAAATGGAGAGAAAGGAGGATTAAGGAAGCCGTCACACAGATGCAAGCTGCTGATTCATTTGCTGGTTTGAGCCCTGCACCTGATCACCACAGGATGGGGAAGAAGATTCTTTGCCTTAGGCTTCCTGCAACAGAATCTCAGAGGTCCAATATATCATCATCGTGGCTGGGCTTCACAAACGAAGATTTGGGAAAGGCTCTATCCACATTTGTTACAAGCACGCTGGTGGCTAATGAGGCCAATACGAGATAGACATGTCCAATTGCAAAAGGCACAGCAGAAAGACTCCTTAGGTGGTATATTCTGCAAGGCACAAATCTTTCTGCATTGTCTTTTCTCCTCGAGAGTGATCCTGTGTGCGTTCTCA